GGCCATAAAACTATACATAAGCTGGATAATAAAAAGTTTATTATATTTATTTTCTTTCTTAAATTATTTTAATATATCATAATTTATACATTAATCGGTTTGTGTAAGTTGTACATTATATTTGTCAATCTTAATACAAGTATATATACATTTACATACACGTAGTGAGAGAGCTTCGAAGTAAAATGTTTAACCGAACGTATATATTTTTGGAACAAAATGCTTTTATCTTAAAACTGAGAACACTCTTCACGTTAGGCAACTATCGATCCTGCCTTTAATAAGAAATTTGCTAACATTTATTATCTCATATACATATTTTTAAACATATTTACTCTTAAAAACTAAGATTTGTTAAATAACATTTTCAATTACATTGTTGCACACTTAAAATAGCTTTTTCTCACTGATGATCTTTCATGGGATCTTTCATTTATGATAAATAATGAATGAAGATGGTATCCTGGGTCTATTTCGTTTTTAAAAACAGAACTTTTATAGCATTCAAAACCTAATCTACAATATGTTCTTTGCTTCCTGTTCCTTGTCGTTTATTTCTTGTCTTTTTTTCATTTTTGCTGTTCTATCGATAATCATATTTAAACGTAACGTGTAAAATTTATTGTAACGTGTTTTTCATCTTTTCCGAAGTTCGTTAATGTTTATCTCGGACAACACAAAATAAAGAAATTGGATAAGAAACAAAAAGGTAAGAAGTGGTAAGAAGAAAAAAAACAGGAAGCAAAGAGCACATCAGAGTAAATCAGACTTAAATTACATAAGTATCTATAAAAGCGTTTTAATGTTTACGCGATGTTTACGATACAGCATACTTGCAAATAGGATTGCTGATAACAAACTTCTATAATGCACGATACGGTCATATCAAAGTTCAACAAGCTGCTTTTATTTATTTATACTATTTATACGTATGTATAGAAATCATAAAAAGCGGAGCTTTCAACAGTTTTCAGCATTTTCGCAGGTCTGAATCTAGTTGTAAGTGTCGCGTTGCAAACACCGACGTACATTGGGAGATACTTTGTATATCGGAAATTCCGACGAATCTCTAAAAGTACTAAAATATCGAACATTATCTGTACATTATCATACATATTCGCACGAATTATAATCTACGACACGGATAGCTACGCGAATGATATTTCCATGAAAGAGACGATAGCTAAAAAAGAAAAAGACTCAATCTCTCTTACTAATTAAGATGTGACAGAGGAAGAAAACGCGCGAAGGAACAGACCTTTATGTCCTTTCCCCATCTTTTTGCTTTTTTGAAAATTTATAACAGGATTTAAAGATATTCTCAATTCTATTCTTCTCTTTTTGAAGAATTTAAATGATACGCGCGTTCGTTCAAATGTACGTCAAACGTTTATGGGATAAGCGACACGTGTTCTTTTTTGTAAAATGCGGGACGTTATCACGGATGTCCGTGATGTTGCTGCAGATTGTGCAATTCGTATGCGAGGTGACAGCACTCGGAGTCACTCCATCGATGATGATCGCGACTCTTATCGACATTCGGCCCCGACGCATCCGACATCTGAGAGAAAAAGATAGTCATTTAATAGAGAATTATTTTCGGGAAAGTGGAAATAATTACCTCTTTTTCAAAGAGAAATAAATTAGACAGCTATTCGTGCGAATTTCGAAAGCGATTAATAAATAAATCAAATGACCATTTAGGAGTACATTTTAAAATGTCCTCTCCGAGGAAAATTTTACTCGATATAATACGATAATATTCGTTACATGTATATTATATTTTTAGAGTCTAACTGAAACTTTTACCGAAACTAAAAACGAATAGTACGTGTCAGTTTCGACTAAAATCATAGCTCTTCTACAAAGATATTAATTTTAATATGTGTAATTATTGTCTCAATAATTATGGTGAATAATGGTGGTTTATGAAGAAGAAGTACTTATATATTCTTTGGCCAAAATTGATACACAACCGAAATTTCGTTTTCTTTTTTATTTTGATTGAAATTTAATTGTTCCAATAAATTATGATATTTGTGAAGAAAAAGGATATGATATATGGGCATGTCTATACATATGACCTTTATAGAATTTCTATTTTTTAATTTTGGTTTCGATGTCGATTGAAATTAACATGTAATCGAATATTTCGGTTCAGTTTCCACAAAAGTTTCGGTCGAACTCTACATATTTTGAATAAAATCTTCTTCAGAGAGAATGTTTTGGAATGTTACCTTAGAGATTACTGTTATTTTTTATGTCAAATATATTTTTTGGTACAATTATTAAAAGAAATAATATTACATAATGTTCAAATCACATGCAATCTCATTAAATATGATTTTGATAGAAGTGATAAAATACATTGAAATGACAGACAGAATTAATGTTAAATTTTTACAAAATATTTTGATGCTTCCTGTATTAAATTAAATAGAATTAATTTACAAGCACGTACGATTTTATTTTATTTTTATTGATTACGTTTAATGATTTTATTTATTTATATAATTGATGGATTGATTTACATAATTACAAATAAAAAAAAAAATAAAAAAGTATGTAAATATTTTTTATATTATTTGCACTTTTGAGATTGTTTTTGCCCGAGTTCTTCGTTTTTAATCATTCCACAGGCAATATTGAATATCAAAGCGCGCGATGAAGAGATGAAAAAAAGAGATACTTTATCGGCAACTGGATTATACCGAGATTATGCTGTACTCATGGATCCATGTATACTTGGGCAAAATGATGATACTTACCGAGCAAAAGGAGAGTAGTGATTGATGTGTGTACTTGCTGCACAAAGGCGATGTATGATGAGGGTGATGATCCTGCGTCGTCGGCTGCGTCGGCGGCTGGCCATCACCGGCGATCTCTAGATAACCCCGGCTGCTCGCTAAACTACCTCCTCTCGTTCCAACATCTGCAAAATTGCATTGCGAAATTCGGGTCGTGTAGGCTGTACAACGTGATTCGGAGGGATTTCGTGCATTCGAGAACTCTCCTCTTTGCAGCAACGATATCGACCAGTTTCTCTGGCTGTGTGATTTAGTCGCTTTAAGGGCGCCAAACCGTCGCGATGAATTTGACTTCTCTCACGATGTATCGCATTATACTATTTTTAGCACAGTTTTGAAATATTCCTATCTTAAGGCGCCCAAGAGAAAGAACTTAACGTACTACTTAACTACTTATTATAATACTTTAACGTAGCGAATTTATGAAATTTTGCTATATCCTTACTTCTGTTGCGCGTTTAGAGATTGAACTACACGGAGAGAATTTTCTTTTAAACTTTACCCTGAAAATATAGTAGTTCTGGTACAATACAATATATTTTTGAAATTTTTATCATGCACTTCAGTAAAGTTAATCAAACTTATTTTATATTTTATTGTAGATTTATTAATGAATGAGAGAGATTTACGTTAAAATTCTTCAAAATACAATGTTATCCCACGATTATCATATTTTCAGAGTAATTCTAAGAAAAAATTCTTTTCGTGTACGCATATTTAATTTACTTATGATATTATTGCAAAAAATCATTAAATTAGGTAAAAATATATTAATTGTTTGAAATTGTATTTTACTTGAATTTCTGAAAGAGAAGCTCATTTAAATAATTTTGAAAATATTTGGCGGAAAAATTTTAATCAGTGCAGCTCGTATTTTAATTATCTGTTAAAGGGAATTGAGAATTAAACATTTAAACGGTAAGAGTGACTTTGATCAAACTCAAAACTAAATTAATTTAATCGGTGATTTATCAAGTGATATATCTTGTCCAGTAAACAAGTTGTCATTATTCATCGTCATTTTAACATCAAATGACATCTTTAATGTTGACAAATGATGACAAATAACGTCAACTTGTTTAATAGAATGTTATTTTCTTGACATAAATAAAGTTTTTAATTTGATTTGATGTACAGAGAGAAAAAGATCAGACATGATAAATTTTATTCAAAAATTGATTTGGATTTTAATCGCCTTAATTGAATTAATTATTAACTTTAGATTAACTTTAATCTCGGTTCAACTTGCATTTTATCTTTTTTTAATTCTTACATTAGAAGTAGAAAATGATAAAGAGTTAGTTAAACTTTAAGTTAAAGATTAAAAAATTAAATTATATTGGTAGAAGTGGGCATTAAAATCAATTGCTTAAGTTAATCAGAGTTTGGTCAAAGTTGTTATAAAACATTGCTTAAACGAAACACACATAGAAGGACACGACGTTTCGTAGGATTTAAGGGGACACCTTGTGTACTCGCCATCGAGTGAGTGGACCGACGAATAGCGCGATCCTGATAAAAATAAGAGGGCATCTTCCAGCGTGACTTCCACCACCTGACTCTTCTTGAATGCCGACGACCACTGGCTTTCGAGTTGTTGCAACTGCACGTGCTAACCGAATGCGTCGACGCTCTCTGACCCCACCGATTTCCACGTAGATGTGCCCATTTGATGCCGCGAAGTGTTCTCGATACCTCAGCTCTCACCTCGCCGTTTAGGAAGCAATACAGCACCGCCACGAAAAAGCCCTTCCGGGAACACAGAAATAATACCCTTTCGCCCTTTCGCTCGTCAATTTTAATTCTCAGCAAAGCCTGGATCTTTTTCTCGAACGCAAATCTTTATAAAACTACCATTCTTCATATAAATTGTAAAGAGAGATGTATGGAATAAAAATATTATTTAATTATTCTATTTAGTCTCTCAAAAATATCCATTTATTTCCTTTTTCTTTTAATTATCGTATTTCCATCTGTTCATTAAATTTCTATTTATTCATAATTAAAATGAATGAATTTTATATATGTATATACATAAAAGAGAAAAAATGTAATAAAATTTAATATATAAAGAATAATGATTTGGAATTACAAATGAGAGAGAAAGATGGAGAGAAAGAAAAAAAGAGAAGTACAATAAGTTCTAAAAAAATTTAAACTCCATTATCTGAGCGGCTGCTTAAACGTTTCACTGATCAAAGTACGTATAAAGATACATAGAGCAAGTAGCTTTCCAGAATAAATGAAATTATATAGCTAATTTAATTTTTCAAACTTTGTGGATTAATTAGTTCAATTTTTTGCACAACATCGTCCAGCTTTGTTGTCTAATGAGATATAATTTATGATAATGCAGTCGAGTACTCGATTTCTTGCGTAATTGTTTGGCGTCCAGTAAAATAGATTAGTACTATTAATAATTACCTGGAAAGATGCGAACAGCTGGTCGCAGAAGAGCCACACGACCTCTACAGTTTCGTTTACGCCGATGCTGTACGACATAAAGATAAAGAACGCGTAGTGAACCCCAAAGAGCGGCACTAAGACCAACGTGCTTCTAGCCCATCGCCTAATAATCATTTTAGACATATATTTGTATAGTCAATCATGTCATTTTATTAAAAATTCCATCAAAAAGAAATAATATTTTTTATTATATTGTATTTTTATCAACACTACAGATCATCTTCTGTAGAATCTTACTTGTATCTTTCCGTTTCCTCCGACATGGTAGATTTGAGTTTCACTAGTAGTACTCTCACGATGTTGATGAAGAGCACGAAATTTATCTAACGTAGCCAAGGAAGAACGATGGATTAATGTACGACTGAATTAATTACAAGCTCAACGAAGCATTCGCGAGGTTCTTACCAAAATAGAGAGCATCGTGGGCACCCGTATGAAGAGGAACAAGAGAGGTTTCTCATTGGTTGTCCAGCAATATGTATCCTGGAATATGATCCTCGTCACTACCCAAGGTAAGATAAATATAGCTGGCAAACCTGCAAGACGAAGTTGTGCGATTAAATTTATCAAATGGGCTCTATTACGCTTATCAATAATAAATTTCTAAATTTCTCCAGGGAATGAAAAGTTACTTTTTAAAAGTAACAAATTACAGTTACTCGTTACCGAACAGAAAAAGTAACAAGTTACCGTTATGATTTTTAAAAGTAACTCGTTATAATTACGTTACTTGAGAAAGTAATTTTTTTCATTACTTTTCCATTATTTTTTTAAAATCGACAACCGCCGACGGGCTTTCTAGTCTTAAACGCTATGCACTGTACAAAATTTTTGTGTAAAATTACAACTATTATAATGGGTAATTTTGAGCCCACTATAATAATTGTAAATGTCAACGCGTTCATAAATTCGTAATATGCAAATAAAAATAATTTCTTGATATGTAACTATAAAGCAGATTGTAGAAGTACAATTACAATGTACATGTGTAATTGTAGGAATGATAATGACATTTCGCATTATATATTATCATTTAACAGCAATACACGAAAAATTACTGTTATATTACGTAATATTACTAAAATTAGGATAATTACAAAAAATATTCAAAATATCCTGTTATTTACATAATTTCCCATATAAAATAAGATATATTTAGGCAATAAAAGCAAATTTACATAATTTTTGTGGAATTACGTAATTTCTGTAAAATTGCATGATTTTATATATTTACAGGATTAATCAATTTTTACATCTATTATATGTGTAAATTTACAAAATTTTTTTACAATGTGAGTGACTTGTGTCGTATCGTGTCCAATCATGTGAAAAGTAAAATTCGTTACCGTTATCAAAAAAATGTAACTTTGTTACCGTTATAATTACCAAAGAGAAAAAGTAACTTGGAACTGTAACTTCGTTACAAATAACGAGTTATATCCATTTTATGAGTTTCTCTAACGAGAAAATACATTATTTATTAATAGAAAGTCTTCTAATATGATCTCTCTCTCTCTCTCTCTCTCTCTCTCTCTATCTTTCTAAAACGGATCCATTTATAATTATAGAAAACGATATAAATATATTTTTTAAATTATGCCATTGTTTTAAAAATGATAAAGTTAAAACGAATATCAATATAAAAGCATACATATATGTACATGTTAAATATTATAATATTACAGATGTATTTATAATTAAAACTTACAACAAGGAAAGGGACTTAAGTGTATTTCTCTGATTTTAATGAGTTTTTAATGTGTTGTTTTGTACATAAAAATAAGACACATATTTATTTTTATATGTGTCTTATTGCACTTTTAAAAAATAAATTACAATTTTGATAAACTTTTAATATGTTACTTTATTGACAAAATAAAAGATATTTTTTTATACGTGCCTTATTGCACTTTTAAAGGGTAAAGCATTTTTTATAAAAAAAAATCGATTTTTTCTTCCGAAGCAAATATCGTAAAAACTGAGATAGAACAAAATGTTTGAAATAAAAGTTGAATAATTTTAAAAGTATTTAATAGTTATAATGCTTTTTTAAATTAAACAATATCAAATTTTTTTTAAATTTTTATTTTTTATAAATAAAAACTATTTTATCTATATAACGTTTTTTAAATATATAACAGTACCAGTATACAAAATACTCTTGAAACTCAACTTTTATTTCAAACATTTTTTCTATCTCTTATGGTTTTGTCGATATTCGCTTTGAAAGAAAAAACCTTTCTTCCAAAGGGTGTTTCAACTTTGAAAAGATAGAGTACGTATAGAAAATTACATGTATATCTTATTTACGACTATAAAATAAACGCACAATATATTAAAAGATTATTAAAATCGAAAGAGGATATTTGAGTCCCTTCTTTAAAAAAAAATGTTTAAAATAATTAAGATTTGATATGAGGAAAACAAATGGGAAAAATATAATTTGCAATTAAATTGACAAATGAAAATACGGTGTGATAATTTTTGCGCAAAAATTAATAATATATTTAATACTTAAAATACTTAATATAGGTATAGTTACAAATAAAAACGAAAATTTTGGCAGCTACATTCCAAGCCGCTTTTATCGAATATTTCTTAAATTCTCATATGCTCGTGGGGTAAAAATCATTATTCCAATATGCCGATCCTAATTTTTCACCGTGATTGGAAATTCAGATCAAATCGGAAAGGCAAGTGGATAGTCAAAGGTCAAGAGCGTAAAAAGCACACATTTTTTTAAAAAAACGTAAAATTCATAGTCATATTGGACGAGTCCAGCAATAAAATTATAAAGTTGAACAGAAATTAAAAATAAAATGAGAAAGTAATATGTAATAGTTGGGAATAAAGTATGTATAATAAAAAACACATAAAAAGCATTTGAAAATGAAATTGTGCTATTATTGTTTACATAACATATTTCTTGTATTGCATAACATTCAATAATTTTCATAATCAATACGATCATGTTTCATGTAGAGAACCATCGTGATTTTTTAGAACATTTGAGAATTTCTGAAAATTGAGAGATTGTACATATCCCTCCAGAGAATCCTGTGCTTTTTACTGTCAAAGATGGTCAAAGTCAGAATCAATAGAATCTGCACCGGCATATAGCAAATACATACATGTTTCCTTTTTTTCTTATTTCATTTTACGATTTCTATTAGTAAAATTTTAAATTATTTTTCAATTATTGTTAAATGCGTCAAAAAGTATAGGAATAAAAAGGTTAAATTATGTAAAAATTGACTAAAAACAAAACTATTCCCTTTCCAGTAAGCAAATTAATGGTAAATTGTTGTCAAGTTTAGCATCAAACTCGCTCAGAATTGGTGACAAATCCGATGTCATCTGTATCAGTAACAAGTTTGTGTTTTGTTAATAAAGCCTGTGTACAAATTAGATAAGAAATTGGTGACAAAAACCGAGTTAAGCATTAGTCGGTTTTGGTTTTGGTCGGTTCTTGTCGTCAATTTGCTGTTAGGTTGTCAACAAGTTTTGCAGAACAAGAAAATAATTTTTCTGACAATTTCTATTCTCATGTTATATCAGCAGATTTTATTATATATCTGCTATAAATGTGTTGACAGTATTGAATATAACAGAATTTGTTTCAAATAGTGCTTTTTTTTGTCGACAAAATTTGTAGCAAGTATTTGACAAAATTTGTTTTCGATTTGGCCGATTAAGTTGTAGCTGATTGCAACTCCGTAAGCCACATCGAAAATAAATATTGTCAAATGTGCTTACTACAAATTACTCAAATAATTAAATAACAAGAGCAATTTATTCATCTTGATAAATTTATTCATCTTGACAAAACAGCCTTTTAATCTTGATAAGTCTAGTGATTAAGTTTTAGATTAAATTCTTAATAAAGAATCGATAAAAAGTTTGTTTTTTTTTAAATTCGTTTAAAAGTTTCTTAATCTTTTTTAATATAACACATAAAACAACTTTAAAGATAATAAAATCGTTTAAAAATTAAAAAGCACAAAGTAAACTAGAACTAATGTAAAATGTAAAATAGAATAATGTAGGCTTACAACTAATGTGATTGGAACCTCGTAAATCCTTCTAAGATTGACAATGACTTCTAAGAATAATCCTATTACTTACCCCATCCGAAAATGACGTAGCCTACAATGCTAGAGTTGGCATCAGTGAAGAGCGCCAGAAAGACCAGATTGTGCAGATATATACCCTCCATCAGGATCCAGGAGTAGTTTGCTAGGATGAAGTATTGCCACAGACTGGTGAATGTCTTGCATTGCCAGTTGCTTTCCTTTTCATCGAGTAGCCAGTAACCCTCAGTGACTTTGATCACGGCATCTGCCACTCCGAGGCCGGACACGAAAAGCATGTCCTTCAGTAGCGCCATGAACGCTCGCATCACGAATGAGACGAACAGGTGCATGTGCAATATATTCCGAGGACATCGTAATTTCCTACGTCCGATGGGAGACAAACTTGAACGTGGCAACGCGAATTACGTTTCGATTAGGATAGTGCGAGATTTTATGCGGCGCCATGAGACATAATCCGACTTTGAATTGAAAGCAATCGTGTTCGATGAGAAAATCCCGTTATAACAGCGTAAATAAACGTTAAAAATTATTGCTCTTTCAGGGGCAGTCCCGACGTCAAACTCTTTACTCTACAATGCAAAGTATTGAAAATATAAGGAAAATATGTGGATATAAAAGTATGCGATCAAACACTTTGACAGACAGCTAATAATAATTTTTTAATAAAAAATTATGTTTAAAAAAATAAAAAATGCTAAAAGCGAGGCGCCTTATTTTGCAATTATGTGTTGAAATTATATTTACATGAATATACTTACTTGATGGTGGCCAAAATGCAAAACGCAATGATGAGAGTGAACAGCGAGACAGAATAGCCTAGTTTCGAGATGATCTTCACGACTGGTAGGAATTTCTATAACATGCAATTATTTTCTAAATGGGAAATAATTAATTATTAATGTACAATTTATTCACAAATGTAATTAATAAAATAATAAAATAACAACGCATGCATTCGTGATTAATTATAAAATTATTATCTATTGTTTAAAAATAATTTAAAATAGAGTAAATTTCTATGAAACATTATTATTACTAAAAATATAAATAATTTTTAAAGTTGAAATTAAATTATTAAGTGCGACTTTTACTCTAATTAATTTGTTGGTGGTAACTTTAACAAAGCTTTCTAAAACAATGTCACCATATGATCTCTACGAGAAAAATAAATTATGAAAGTTTGGAATTGGGTTTAATTTATAGCTGTCGTAAATCTTTCCTAATTCTTTGCAATATAAATTACTGCATCTCATATAGAAATTTAATATTAGTGATTAATTAATAATTTATTTTAAATTAGATTTATTTTATATTAGAAGCATTGTAACAATACTTTTAATAGTGAAAATAAAATTGGCTAATATTAGTATTAAATTTCTACAAGGGATGTATACATTGACGACATTCCTTGTCTCGTTGTTCCCTTTCATGCTGCAATGCTAACTTTATGATCCTTAAGAAGATCATTTTCTATTATGTTATTCTGTCGTCGCTTTACGAAGCTTCTCTATGTTCTTGTATTCAGTCGTTCTATATTCACTCATGAAGTAATGTGTTTTCATCGTGTGTGTTCGCATTAAATTATGGTAAAATTTGTATTAAATTTGTATTAAGGCTGTCAATTTGCTCCAAGTGAATTAATTATTGAATCCTTTGAATTACGGAGCAACTTTAGTAAACGTCTCTAAAATTTGGACTGGAAATTATTCGGACTGGAAGTTATTTTCTCTTTCATTATCAAATATTGATCGTTATAAATTGAAAAGGTGTTAAAAAGGCAGATAGGTGACTATTAAAGAAATAGGATTTATTTTAATTTTTTCATGGTTGTCATTTCAATGATAACGTTACGCGGTATACATAAATACCACTTGATCTTAAAAATTAAGCACAAAGGTCTTGGTAGAAAATTCTTTTCATTACTTTCCGCCCAACCTCTTCGATAACATCATTACCGACGTAACTATTGGCTCATTTGCTCTCCCGCTCAATTCATTATCGTCCAAGACTGGAAATTAACTCCGCAGCAACGTCTCGGAGTTCTCATGAACAGTGCAAAACGTCACAACGCATCCCCCTCCCGTTGGATAGAATGTCGTTTATAGCTCTCATTTCCTCGTGAGTAGAGCAACTGACGTCATGTCGCCGTGTGATTCCAATCGATCTTTTCATCTCTGCTATTTTCTGCATGGCGATGTCGCCGAAACTCGGCGGAAGGTTTTATTGTTCCAAATTTATTTGTCCTACATTTTTATCGACGAATAATTTAGTGTTAGTGTTTCCTTTATTTCTTTACCTTAATAAGAGTCGCATTGTTTGTTTCTACATTCGATATGTTCATCATGACTATTGGGTCTTGGTAGCACTGGCTAAAGTTGGTCCAGACGCTCTGGGTTTTGACGTTCCAGTACCATTCGCCGTTCGGCAAGCATTGCTTCGAAGCGAATGCCTGAAAAACGCACTGCCTTTTATCTATGCACTCTTCCATCGATTCGATGATAATTATTTCTTAAGAAAAATATTCGATACTCGCGTGATTTTCTTAAGAAAAACAATCGAAATATACCTCTTTCTTTCTTTATCTATGAGACAGCATTTTGCATTTACAGAAAAAAAAAATTTTACACGAAAAGATCGATTTTGCTAAAGTATTTAAAAATGTAGCTAGATGCAGATATAAAAATAATTTTGTTGGACCATCAAAATAATTTTATAGAAATATATGAGCAATGCTCCAAAATGTTTTAATAGTCTAGTAACCAATTTTAATGTCCTGCATAATTATTTTGATATTTCAGCAAAATAATTTTTAGATTTGTATCTAGCTAAAATTTTAGACATTTCAACATAATCGTTCTTTCCGTGTGACTATATAAGTTGACAACTCCAAATACTTACAACTAATTTTACAAAGTAATAAGAACTAAAGTAGTATTACTGAGTACCATATTTTTTAATGCTATATTATATTTTTATAATATTCAATACTACTTTTTTAAATTCTTATTATTTTGTAAAACTACTTGCAGTTAAATTTTAGTTATCAATTTATAGTTGACGCAAAACTACTTCTTTTTCTCAGTATGGGGAGAACAGAAATTTTTAAATTACACTTCAAATCAATTTTGTTTGAGATAGAATTTTATAGAATACGTGGATCATCTGCAAAGATATTCAAACCTTGAGCAGGAAAGTCATAAAATGAGATGATTTATCGAAATTCTGCCTGAGAAAGAATGGAGTTCGAATTCGTCGAAGAGTCGTTCGGACACGTCGCTGAACAGTGTGGGAGACATTTCAATCATTGGATTTAAAGAATAGATTTTATCGTCTATTTGCAAGAATCTTACGTCAGAAAACGGCGTTATTAGATCGGAAAATTAATCTAATTGAGTTTCTCGCGGATCTAAATGAATCTTGGTATTAATTCGTTCTGATAGCGTTATTCTATTGAATAAAATTTCGTTCGAAGCGTGCGCGAAGTAGTTTCCGGAGAATCTATATAGATCAATTCAGCTAAATTTTTAACATGATCTTGATTACATACGCGAGCGTCGAAACCCATGATGTAAGAGGCGCACTGCTGAACGGCCAGTTGTCCAGGTGCCGTCGAGTTCCAACATAGTATCCCATCCCAAATCTCGGGACACCAGCCTGAAGAGATCGCATCAAAATATTAGCACGAAAATAACGAAGCTGTCTAGAGCAGAAAATTATTAGACCGAAAAAAATTAAATTTTAATAAATATTTGTTTGAATAGTTCTAAGTAAGTATTTACTAAATGTAAACATTATATTTATTTGATACAAAAATTATCAATTTAATTTAACTCTCATTTTTTATTGAGTAAATATTTATTCACTGTAAGTAAATGTTTATTTACAATTAGCACTATTTAAAAAAATATGTATTGAGATTTGGTAATTTTTTTCAGTGCATTACATACATGTATGTATATGATAATGCATAATTACATATATATATATATATATATATATATACATATATATATATATATATATATATATATATATATATATATATATATATATATATATATATAT